GTCCAACTTCCACCCGCTCCCTTAGATCCTCTTTCTCCATACACCTGTCTGTCCCCCTGCTCGTCTCACCACAATGGGGAGCAGAGCATTCAGCCGCTCTGCCCCCATCTCTGGAACTCTTTACCACCTCACATTAGAAACATTAGATTCATTCTCTCATTTTAAATCACAACTCAAAACGCATCTGTTTAAAATTGCCTACCACATGTGATTTAAATTTTGCTTTTATCTTGTTTTAATGTTCTATTGTTTTGCCTTTGCTGCTTTTAAATGTCTTGCATTTCTGTACGGTGTCCTTGAGTGCCAAGAAAGACGCCTCAAATAAAATGTATTATTATTATAATTATTAATTATTGAGAACTGTGACTTTCAACAACTTTGTCGAGTAGGTCATTCTGACCAAGTAGATTCTGTAAAGACTCAAATATTGGAACATAAAAGTTCCGTTTCTCTTGGCTAGTGGACCACCATGCTGAAAACTACATTGGCGATTACCGACAGCCAATAAGAGAGCAAGATACAGAGCAGTGGGGAGTTTGGGGAGGAGTTACAGATCACATATCAACATATGGCATTGTTTCTGAAAAAGACTTCTTCACGGTCTATTTAGACCCAAGAAATGGAAGAAAAATTTGTAGAAATTTGACAGGAGCACTCGTGTCTATTTGACGTTTCATCTGAGCTGTACCACAACCGGGTCCGAAAAAAAAAAAGTCTTACGTGAGAGCTCCAGTCTTCACATCTCACGTGTTTTTGTTGTGACATGTACATAGTTTGCGTGCAGCGTGCTAGACAGAGATGTCTGCGATTTTCCTATTGTAAAGTCATGCAGTGTGAAACCTTCTGTCGCCGATCCATCGTGCAGTGTGAACACAGCAGCGACTGAATTCTGGCCAAGATAGTCATGCAGTGTGAAAAGTTTAGTTAAAACTTAGTTTACTCAGTGTATGGTTTTATTTAGGTGTAGCCTACATGTGGCAACTGTGTTAAAACCATACTGTACACTTATAACAACAGCTGAAGTTTGCGGAGATTACATAGCCTATAATTTTTTTTAACTTTATACACGTTTGTCTTACACAAAATAGCACTGAACTAACTGGCTACTATATACACAAACAGCGTTTGGCATTGGTTTACGTTCTTGATCAAATCGAAAAATTATGTCATAATGTATATACATGAATATAAACAACATAAATTGTATCCATTGTTACAAACAATACATTTTAAATTTAAAAACATAAATTGTATCCATTGTTGATGAACTACAACGTCCATGGGAAGCCTGAACACAGAAGACCTGACAGCTGGGTGAACATAACATACGTTCGATGAGCCACAGAAACATGGCCATGCCCTTTTTTGCATTTTCCGGAGGGAGGGTTGATGTAAATGTATGGGTTAAGCCCTATTCGCATGGGATTAGTACTATCTGGGGACCTTGTGTGATTTGTAATATTCGTGGAGGTTGTCTGTGATCTTAATCCCGTGCGAATTGGCCATGTCTGTAATTTGTAAAGTAATAATTCCCCCGCAAATGACCTACCATATTTCGTTGAAAACGTAGGTCCTGTGATAATACTAGTCCGGTGCGAATCGACATCTCTGATTTTGCCAGAATTTGTCGGGCATTTTGGCGGGATTTTTTTTAAGTAATTTCTTTTGCGCTTTTTTATCCATCTTTCGTGAAGAATGGAGGGTGCGTTGGAGTGTTTTGACAGTGTTTTGGGCGCTGGATCATATCGCTATACACCCTATGCAATTTGCAAAAAGAAAAAAATGAAATCCACCACAAGTGCGAAGACAAAAAGAATGATTAGATGGAGATGGATGACATGTATAGCAGTATGCGGTAAGTTACATTCTTCTGTTTGTATCATACATTTGATGTTTCCAAGCAATAGCTTATCAAATATATGCCCAATCAAACCAGGGGGTTCACATCATAATTAGAGGGTAATGTTACAAATAAGTCAAGCAAGCTTGAGCTAATAGATTTTAATCTGGTGAAATGTTTTTTTTTTTTTTTTTTATCCATTTACGCACAATGTACAGTGCCATTGAAAACATATTTCCACTGGGCTGCAAGAAATATAATATGGGTATAAACTATTTTTATATGGTTATAGTTTATTTTTAATTGTATTATTTGTATTTTTGTTCATTTATCATAGCTATCAATTGCCTACATAGCACATTTAAATGATAAGTCAATAATTATTTTAAAAACCTATATCAATCTTGCTAGCCCATGTGTAAACTGTAAAAATACAGTGAAAAATACTAATTATTTATTTTATCTGTGTTGAATATTAACACTGCAAACTGACTATGTGTACTGACCGCCATCTCTCTTTCATAGCAAAATCATGGTACAATGAGAGAACAACACAGGAGCGAGGCCCTTCCTTTTGTGAAACAGAGGTGCTCCAGAATTTTCAAGACAATGACCTCAACTTTAGAATGCCCGAAGAACTTCAGAATGCCCGAAGAAGCCTTCAATATCCTTTGTGACCAGCTGCACCCATACATCAATCCTCAAACTACCAACATGTTGGAGCCTGTCCCTCTAGAGAAGAGGGTAGCAATTACAATCTAAAAGCTTTCCAGTAATGTTGAGTTCCACGATGTCGCCAACCTGTTTGGTATTGGAACTAGCACCGCCTGTAATATATTCTGGGAGGTGTGTGAGACACTGAGTAAACTCAGGAGGGTTTTTGTGAAGAGGCCTAAAACTGTCCCTCAAGTCCAAGCCACCATCACAGCATTTGAGAGGAAGAAGGGATTCCCCATGTGTGCAGGGGCTTTGGATGGCACACACATCCCAATCATTGCCCCAGCGAGCTATCCCACTGACTACTACAATGGTGGGACTGGGGCCTAAGGCACTGAAACATCTGCAGCATTAACGCCCTGTTCTCTTCTGCTCTCTTTTCATCAGCTTCCATCTTCTTCATTTCAAAATCAAAACGTTTCTATTTCTCTCCATCTCTTTCTCCCATTCAAACCGCTCCCTGTCGTAGTCACGGGTATTTTCATTTAGCAGGAGACGGTCCAGACCCTTGTCCATTGCCTCCATTATCTGTGTTTTTCGCCCCTTTCTTCGCCGACGTGCTGCAAAGACAAAACATTTATTTCAGCAAATTCTGATGCTAAAACTTATAAATAACAGGAACATTCAATGCTACAGATATTAATTTAAATTCCTTTGGTAAGAACTGTGTAATAGTCAATTAATTGTTTGTGAATACACCTTTGGGACATTTGTTTTGATTACATCTGTGTGCCTGGCAATGCCAGTGCCCCACACAATGTGCCAAAGTTCAGTTGAGTGAAGCACCTGTTAAGAAAATTATATATTTGAGCTCTCATAATTCCGTATATTTTTATTCTTAATTAAAGTAATGCTGTGATGGTGGTAGGCAACTATAAGCAGGGTGAGGGAGACTGTCCTGGGATTTTGTAAGTGCAGGTTTATTGCAGTCCACCACCACATAGACCAGACAAGCCCTGTTTCACTATTCATACACAGCAAATTTCAGGAGTTGAAAAATCATGAGTTAGGCAAAAAAGTGTGAAAGAGTTAATTTTTTTTATTTTTTATTTTTTTAACTCTGACTACGGTTTGTGTTATTGGATACTCCCCGGCTGTGTTGTTTTTTGGAGTTCATTCATTGGTGTTCAGGAGCGTGTTTTAACACTACACCTGGAGTTATTTTTGAGAAGTGCGCCACGACACGACTCTGGTTATGCTGGACTAAGGAAGAATGGACCCATGTGCTTCGTCGTGAAGTAGGTAAAATTTTATATAAAACTATCTAAAAATGTTCTATATTTTCTGACAAACACGTTTGGTAATCGCGTAGCTGTTACGTTATAGGCTATAATTGTTTACTATCGTCAACGACCATGACAAACTTGCTGTTGAACAACGGCCAAAATTGAAATGGCTATTTGCGCGGGGGTTTTGTCGATGTAAACGAGTTAACATTAGGTAACCGTCTTTCCATTCACCGTGTTTCTGAAAATGAGTGTTTTGCCGTGAAATTCATGCAGCAATGCATTACAGGCGTAGGCTACGTGGTTACAAAATTGCAGTGTCTAACGTTACCCTGGATAATAAGATATATGCTAGTTGAGTTGTGCTGTGTAGGCCTGCAATGATTTGAATTGTAACAGCCATGTAACGTTAACGTTAGGCTACATATATCCACGATGTGCGTGATTTTCAGCTTATAGGCTATTTTTGCATTCTCAGACATTAGCTGTTATCTTAAATGACATGTTTTCTCTTTAATGTCAGGTCACAATGTTAATAAAAGTGCAATTTGGAGGGAAGAAGAAGTATTTAAAATTGGACGAAGTATGTTTTACATATTTTCTCAGTGCAGGTGAGTTGTATGTTTAGTATTCAGTTAACGTTAATAAACAGTAAGTAACAGTAGTTTTGTCATTTCTAACGTTGTTTATATTATGGTGTAGTCCAGCAGAAGTTTCTGATACCTGAGAATAAGGAATTGAAAGTCACAGATGACCAGGGCATAGAGGTGGATGAGGATGCCTTTCCAGATCTTGCAACAACCAAAGAAATGTGTTTTTTCATCCACACTGATGATGATGATAGGACATTTTAGTACATTTGTTTTGTTTATATAGATATTTTGAGAGTTTGTATCTTGACTCAGAAACAAAATATGTGCATTTCAGAACTTACATTTCCTGAAAAATCCAAGAACTCGACTGACTTATCAGACCTGACAGAGTTTGGTGCCATCTCAAATCTGACAGAATATGTTACTCTCACTACTTGTGGTAAGTTATATGCAATTTGATCGTTTTGTCTGACCCTGGGCATATCCATCCTGGTGCTAGATTGCTAGATTATATATGCCTCATACTGTTGTTTTTGTGATCTTCAGGTATGACTGTACTGCAGCAAGCAGTTGAAGGTTACTCCTCCCCAAGTCCGACAGATACATTGTCTATCTCAAGCAGTAGTGATTCTGCATCTCAAATGACTCCACCTTTAATGGACAGTGTCCATGCAAGAAATGTATGTGTATGTGTGTGTGTATATATATATATATATATATATATATATATATATATATATTTTTTTTTTTTTTTTTTACTTGCAAACACATATATTTTTATTAGATTAAGATTGCATGTCTTTGTTAAAAAAAAAAAAAAAAAAACAGGTCCAACTTTCGTTTTCTATATATAATTTTCTAAATAATGTTTTCATTGTTTTAGAATGTCAAGCAAATTCTTACTTCAAAGCCAGCGGGGATGACTGTGATTGAAGAGTATCAAGAGACTGGGAGCTTGAAAGATTCCACAAGGCGGTTAATGGTGAACATTATTGTTGCTCACATGCATGAAAAAGAAGGGTAAGAAGCTTAAAGAAGGCATGACTATCCTTTTTTTTAAATTAGAACCTAAATACAAATATGTTTTCACCTTTGTAGGAGAGCTATTAGTAAAGCAACGAAGGAGTTCCATGCCCTTGGGATTGTGTCACTGTTCCCATCTTTGAAAGACCCATACTCTAAAAAAGGATATGTAAGTCTTACAGGCAGTTCAGCGAATGATGCGTCTATTCGCGTCTTTGCATTGACTTTGTATGTTACATTTTAACTCTGAAAAAAGTGTTAAAAATTAAACTCCAAGAGCGGAGTTATTTTAACTCTCGGATGGTCTCACATGTACACTCAGATTGAGTTGATTTGAACTAACAGGGAGTTTATTCCAAAAACCAGAATTTGCTGTGTACATGAAAGTGCACACACAACAAAGCATCACTGTAAATGACAAAAACTATTCAAGATAAAATACAATTTCCTGTTGGTAGCAGTTGCATCACTCAACTCAACATGACATCATGACTTTTGCGTAAACATACACGCCACTTTCGAGTCAGGTGGCGTGTTATCTGTACGCATTTTGAGCTATCCGCGTGTATGCGTGTATGTTTACGCCATTAACGTCTGCGTCATTCCGCGTCTGTACACGCAGTCAAATCTCCAGTCACACATTAGTTTGTATTTTCAGTAGCGTCTCATTTGCTGTTTGTTCCTGGATAAAAACACATTTATTTAGTGACATACCTGTGTCGAATTATATTTTGGTATCTCTAAAACTAGTATTAAAATGTGCTTTTTATAGCTGTGCAAGGAAGAGAGACAAACCATGCAGATGTGAGTTTTGTCATGTCCAGGTTGATTTTCTCAGTAGATGGGGTCACAAACAGTTGAAAAGTGGATTGTAATTCCCACAGCCCCAGCAGTCTTTCGTATGATGTTATCAGGTGCTCTCCAACTTTCATGTAGGAATGAGGGTTGCATTATTTTGCAAGTCTTTGATGTGAACGGAGACATTGTTCTTCCTCATCAGAGGATGACTCATGCTGTATTGGATTCAGGTGCACCTATAAAAAAAAGCAGCATTACACTCAATTTTGATTCACTTTCTGACAGTTTCTCCTACAGTAGTTTCACTAGCATTATGAAATTACTCTCTCTGTGTGGCAAAGACCTAGACATTGAGAATATCTATCTATCTATGAAAAAAAAAGAATTTCGTGGTTTTCATTATTTATTTAACAAATATAAAGCCAAAATGTAAAAGCCTGGAGTTACAAAGTGCACTCTATGATTCAATTGCTTGTTGTCACGCTTAGCAATAAGTTGAAGGAATCGTTTTCTGTATGACAATATCAGTCTCTCGCATCGTTCTGGAGGAATTTTGGCCCAATTTTCGTTACAATGTTGCTTCAGTTCATTGAGGTTTGCTGAGTTTAATTTTCGCCTAACTTGGTTTGCCTAACATTATGGCCAAATCTCCACTTTGGTCTTGGCTGTCTAATAAACATTATTTCAGAAGTCTTTAGGTTTGTTCAGGTGCAAATAAGCTGTGCTGTTCCAAACCCTTCTGTGCCATAGTCTATTTGTCCCCTCTTTTTCTAGTTGTACTGCCATAAACTTTAACATTTAACATGTTAACTGCGACATGTAAAGTCAGTCATGTTGTTCTTGGGTGTTTTGCGATTTTTTTGGGGGGATTACACAGTCTGACCTTGGGGTGAATTTGCTGGGACACACACGCATACATACATAAAACCATGACATCAGGTTTGAACATGCACATAAACAAGTGAGATTTACAAGCCATTGGCATTCGTGTGAACTATTATTTTTCTTTTTGGTCTCCTATGATGTTTAATTGCCTCTCACTCTCAAAACTATGTCAAAACATCCTCTTTTGTGTTCCATATGTGGCGTTCTAAACCAGGACAGACTAAACACCGACTACGCCACTCTGGGAATTTCACCCAGAGAATGATTTTTCTACCCAAGCTCTATAAATCCAACAGCTAAAGACACACAGATTCGTGTACAATAGAGCCAAAGACAGTGTTCAATTTTGAAAGCACAGCATTTATTAATTTCAATAATTTAACAGTTTAAAACAATCGTCTCTCGGGGAAGAGAACACAAAACAAACAAAAACAAAAAAAACAAAATTGCTGAGGCTTACCGATGGAGGCAAAGTATTCAAAAGGTGGTAAAAGATCCCAGAACACCCCCCCCGGTAAACACACAAACACACCCCCAATGATAGCAAATGCAAACAGGGAAGTCCACAGCACTCCAAACGGGGACAACACCACCCAGACACCAATACCTCCACCGGCTCTCAGCTACTGTAACAGAAAAAGAAAAAAAAACCCAAAGAAGTACGCAAATAAAACACGCACTCTTTCAACAAAGATTTACCAAAAAGAAAATACAGAAATCAGAAAATCAATATTTTTCTTATCACAAAATAAACAATAACTGCCAGAACCAACTAAGGCTCTAAAGGGGCAGTAAAAATATCAAAAGAAAATAAACAAATAAATATTTCCCAACTCAGTCAATCAAAATAATAAACTTAGAACACAAAATGACTGCCAAAACCAACAATGGTTATAATACAGCAGTATAAAGAAAAAAGAAAAAAAAAATATATATATAAATATATATATACACACAAACTCAGTAAATCAAAAAAAATTTATAAATCAAATTGAAATATAAATGCAACTTTAATCTAAATTGGAATCAAAACAAACAAACCAAAAGAAAGTAAACCCAGAAAAACAAACTTCTTACATTGACAAAATTATAATATAAAGCCCCAAACCCCTTGAGCTAGTCATGTATCATAAAAACAATAGCACTCACGAACCAAATGCCACATACTCTTGGCCAGACAGCCGTAACTACCCGGTGGCCGTGATCGACGAGCATACAGCGATCAGTCGCTGATATATTTACACAAATGAGGCGGTGGCCCGGGCAAAGTGGCACATGTGGCAAACGGAGACATAAATAAAACACGGAAATGTACAGCACCTTAAACACAGGCAAAAAGGCACAATATAGTTGTCAGGCAAATAGGCAAAAGCAAAACAGCAGTCAGCGAATCGGTCCTGTGCAGCTAGTGATGATCCCCGGCTAAACTGGCCTCATTCCTGTTAGCCATTGTTCAGACGCACCCGAGGGAGAAAGCTCGACGAGTGCCCACGGCACTGATAATGCAGTGTGTTCAGTGGTTCAATGAATTGAACGACGAGATGAGAGTTCGTCCATTCGGCCGGAGATCTGTTAGCGCAACAACGCACACACGGAGAGAGGGACCCGGACGCACAATGCAACTTCCGGTCACCGATGAGCAGGAGAGGGCGTCAGAAGGATTACGCACTATTTATAGGAGGGAGCTTCACACGGGGAGTGACCAAGGGAACACCAGCTCATTAGACTAACTCGTACTGCCACACAGATGAATTAATCAATACTGCATGGGTCTGATTTTTAGAGCAACTGTTCCTGTAAAAGGTTATTCAATCTTTAAGACAGGTCAGATTTTGCCAGGAAACTATAAAAAGGGTAACTTTTGTTCAGGGTGGTTTGTTCTCCTAAGGAACCCGGTATTAAACTAATTAACCTTGCACTTCACTTGTCAATAGCCCTTGTAAACACTGGGTAACTGACCCATGCGCCTCAGGTAGTATAGAGAACTGCTGGAGATTAATGTGTTTTAAATGAATGTGTCAAAATACACTTAAGAGAACGGAAGGTTCCTCTCTCTTTGTTTTATCCCTGTGACTGGTTTCTCATGG